TGAAGGACGCTGAACAAGGCACACCCAAACTTGCTGTTCTGCTGCACATACGTGCTATGAATTCGGCGTTTCCTCTGAATGTAATTGAATGCGAATTCTCAGAGCATTTAGTTTGCCATATTTCTAACCTCAAAAAATGTTCGGCATCAAGTGGAAATAATTTTTCTTTTCGCATGATAGAACGCGTCATCAATTTACTTTTTTTCCTACTTAGGATGTTGCAATTATTTATTACATACCCATTATATTATGTAAAGCGCTCTCCAATCTGAGGTGAACAAGCTTTGTGAATCTCCTATCACCATATCGAGACACTCTACCGACAAAAGATAAATATGGTCCGCACGGAGCACTGAGTGCAAAATACTGTCCCGCATTTTGCACTCAGTGCTCCGTGCGGAGATATGATATATATAATCGAAGGTAAAGATCAGGATAGATTATCTTTCGGTTTCAGACGTATCGTGTGGAATACCTCTCTGTCTAGCGGTTTTTATCGCATGTCCGGTCATAAATCATGCGCTTTGCCAATACAATTAAGGGATCCACACAATTTATACGACTACTCGGTGAATCCATACGCGAGCAAATAAGATTCTTCGTTACTGAGCTGTGTGGTTCTACTGCTAGCACCGTGAGCGAGTTCCACCGTGAAGCTGACTCAGCAGAACCAGTCCATTATGACAAAAGTAGCCTATATATAATATCCCATGATTGGACTTCCAGTGGTCGTCCGAGCATATAGACTTAAACCCCAGAAGATTGCATTTTTTGGCTGCTTTCTTTTTGTCTACGAGATCAAACTTTTTGGAATCATGACATATGATCGGATTAATGCGCTGGGCAGTTGTTAGAACTCTTCAGCTTTAATCGAAGGCTAAACTCTGGAGATCGACCTACCATCGCAAATTATTGTGTTGGTAAAAATATTCTTCATGCCGCAAAATACGATCAATCGGGCTTGTATAACATTGAGAACGCGAATTTTCTTCGCTTGTGCTTCCCAAAATTTGCCTAATATACTCAGCAACCCTTTTACTTACCAATTCAGATATTGTTGTTCCCGTGTTAAACCTATTGCAACTCCCGAAATGCTAAGTGTCTAGCCTTCTTTTTGCGTGGACCACCTACTTGTGTAAGTCTAACATTAACTATACAACCTGTATAGTTGTATATCCCGTTCAGTTATGTTGTATAAGAATTGAAGGCACTAATCATATTAGGGAGATTTAAAGCCTATTGGCTATAATGGAAAATATTATTTCGCTTTACTCCTCTTTATGTAAGTCAACGGCTCGCTGGAAGTTAGCAACATGCGGTGAGGGGTGTTAGTTGATCGAAGCCTTCCTCGGTAAGTGGGTGGGCGATTCCCGCCACACAAAGGCACTTTATTTTTGAGCTCATGGCACACCTAAGCTGACCAATTGGCTTCCTGTCGATCGTCACCACGTTAAATGAATACATTTTTTTCAATCTTAATTTCAGACAAGATAGCGTGCCGCACTCACTGTACTGGAAAGTAACGCTCACTGTACCGGAAGCTCAAAATGAACTTCAAATTATATCCAGCGTCTCATTCACAAGGCGCAGGAACATTGCATCGTTTATGATAGCCAACGCACCCTCGCAAGGTCTACTGTTTTTCAGAGCTGTGCATCGTACGCAAATCAGCTACGCTATTAAGATCTCAGAATCTCCACATCCTTGTTAGCCTAAGACGTTGGAGATAGCCGCTAATTTCTTAAATTATATACGAAATCCTGTTGGGATAAAGTCTCCTCAACATGGGTTTATTGACCGACCCTGCGTGATGGCCAGGCCCTGAATCCTCCTCTCTTTTTTTCTCTTTATCTTTTCTTTTCAAAGAAAGGGGGTGCGCAAAGCGCAGTCGTTTGATTAAAAAAGACACTTTGTTAATCAGCAGCTTCAAATAATATCCCATTATTCCTCAGCAAGGCAAGGGTGCGCACGTGAGACATTCATGTTCTTTTTTTATCTGATGACTTCAATCGAGATTCAAGCCGCAAATCCACTCTTCATTGCAACACCCGTTTCATCTTTGAAAAAGGTGAGGTTGATGCCGAAGTTCTTAGGCTGAGGTCTACCCAACCAGAGACGTTTCATGACGATGCTGGTTGTTACCGCCCTTCAGCCATTGTGTTGCTGAAAGGTAAACGGTTAGATATAGTAGCCAGATCTCTTACTCGACAGGCGACCTGACGTTTTAATCGCATGCGACTCACCTGATTTAAGCATTGCTGACAACTACAGCTTGAGCGGTGGTCATGGAAATAAAAAATGGCTCTTGCATCAAGGTACAGCTTTAGTCAGTTTCAAGTATTATGATTAGAATTCGGTACAAATAAAAATAACGTTGCATTGTCAGCGGAAGGGATGAGGCACACTTGGGTTGATGGCCTCACGTTATGCGTTATATCTGAAAATATACACATAGAGCAAAATTGGATATATCTTTGATAATTTGAAAAAAGAAAAGCCATGTGTATTAATACCAGACGTATGATATTAAGTAAGTGAGTTTTGGTTTCAGTAGATGATTTTGATTTGCTGGCAGTTAACACACGTTATGTATGTGAGTATACGGAACTTTTGAAGAAATTGGTTCTCCTGTGTGTGGTGGGCGGTAACCTTGTTGCAGACAGTTGGAAGCACACTTTGCTACGTATTTTCTTACGATAGAGTTTACTAAGTCGTCAATATTGTCGATGTTAGAGCAATCTTGTCGGATCTGAATGTAAGCTACAAGGGTTTACAAGCAAAGTATTCCCATTCACTTTACCATAAACTGGTTGTACTCTGACAAAGACGCCAATCAAAAAATTGTCAGCATAATATTTCCCATCACCCTATTCATCAAGCAGTGCCGATCGAATGCGACTCTCGCGTAGATGGTCCTCATGTACTTTTGAGGTTGTGGTCCCGCGTCATCTCGCGTTAAAGACTACTTGTTTATCTTATAAGAGCACTTATTGACGTGTTGATAGAACCGATGCTGATTTAAACTGAATTGAGGTAGCAAAGCGAAAGAAAGTTATTTGGTTTGTTAAGAGGTTGCTTCGTATTCAACATTACGCATCGCATTGGGGTTCACAATGAGAGTGGGATCGTCTTATGGCTTTGGCAAGCTCACATAATACATAGAATTTATTCGACTTCATTTAAGTGTAACGTCATTACACTTTAGCTACAGTCGTTAAAGGCCCAATACACGAAGGGTGTCCCTTCATTGAAACATTTTTTAATACGATTTACGGCATTAAAATGATTTTATGGACAGAAGATCTAAATGTGTTTTGTTGGCAGTAAGCTGCATTTACACAACGCGGATTCTTGAGCGTTGGCGATTAATATTAAATCTATTCCGGATTCTTTCACAAAATGTAATTTGGTTGATTTCACTAAGTCAATCGGTATCACAAACCTCATCCACCAACGTTGTGATAGTGTCGTCATGATAAGGGGAACGGCCAACCATATAACGTAAATCTTAGATACTGAAGAGTCAGGTGTCCATGGGTGGGAGCATGTTGCACTAGTACCGCGGTTACTTGAAAGTGCTTCAATGATACGTTTATTGCACTTATCGTGCAAAATTTTGCTCTTTAACTTTTTTTGCAAGGCACAAGAAATAATTGAACTACAAAAGAAACGATCAATTCGAGTTTTATCAGACAAACCTCATTCGGTAGGGCTGGCGAGATATTGTCTGATGATGATGACCACGGAAACCCTCATAGGTTGACCCAACATGTGCGCCGTCATCAAATGGCAAAAACCGATTCCAGACTAATATTTAATATGAACGATAGATGTCATCGTATAACTAATGATAAAAAACAAGCTCATTTCATATTCCTGTCGAGAAGTATTTGTGAGTATTCTGGTGTACCAGTATGTTTCTTTCGACGAAATACACCACACCTATAGCGTGATTGAGGCAATATTTTTTTAAGTATTCCAGTGATTGTGGCAACAAGACTTTGAAGTATTTCAGTGCTACTTTTCTTACAGTGTAGTCCTAGTAAAATATCGAGACCTTTACCGTTGTCATTCTGCCATTCACCAGTTATTCCAAGTATCGATCAGCGTTAGAAGAATATGGAAAACACACTATTCACATATGAACACATATTAAAGCCAAAACCGTGTAGCGGGGCCAGCTAAACAGCTAGTGACACGGTAGGAACTTAACATGCACTTACACGGACGGTGCATTGTCAGTAAAAGATAGCAACACATAAACGCTCAAATCATTTTTTGATAAAGCTGATATCCAAATAAGACTTTCAAACTGAGCAAAATTATGGTACTAGAGATTCAGCGGGGCTGCCGTAGCGTTGCGCTTAAAGGAAGCGTATGTTATGTCACCGACCTTTCGTTCTATACTTAGAACAAGTACGACTTAGCAGATTGCAATCCGCTTACTTCAAGATTAATTATTGCATTACCAAGGCTGATTAGCTCTTCCGTTTAGAATCCAAAACTGATTTTTATTTATTTATTTTCTTAATTTTAAAAGTTAAGATGTTCCTAAATATACTAAATCTAAATACATC